CTAAATTAGGGACGGCTAGCGCAGATAGCCCTCGTGTAGCTTTGCGCGAAATTCAAAAAACAAACAAACCTATGTCAAGGGATAAAGAGATTTGACAATCTTAACGACATCAAGGAAGTTCGAGATTCACTATAATGTGTTGTGAAACTAATAATATATATATATATATATTGATATGATAATTATGTGTGAATAAGGGATGGTGGGGAAATTATAAGAATTTAGTTTCAGTTACAATAACGTTATGACAGGCTCCTAGAAAAGTGTGGACTTTCACACACACACACAAAAAAAGGTGTTTCACACTTACGTTTTGCCTAATTGGGGGCTTTTTTCAGTCGTGGTTTTCTTCCAGAAACGTCGCTCGGTGGGGAACCGGTAAGTCTACGGATTTACTACGCTAAAATCCGGGGTTCGATTCTTCGCGGTGGACACAGCAGATAGTCCAATGTGGCTTTGCTTTAAAACAAACTATTTTATTGCCCATGGTGAAACAGCGATAAGTCTACGGGCTTACTACGCTTAAATCTGGGGTTCGATTCCTCGCGGTGGCTTTGCTCGCAAACCCTTCCAGGAAAATTATTGAAAAATCAAACACTGTTCCCAAAAATCGGTGCCATCTGGTCACCTTAACTGACGTCTCAACTTGACTGATTGCTGATAGCTCACTGAAGAAACAACTCGATTGTTAATTAAGACTAATTAGTTAATTTGTAGACATTCTGGTTTTCAGCAACGTTAAATAAATCACGTTAAATTAGAGAGATGGTGATATTTATTTTTCGTTAACTTTAATAGCGAGTATATCTCCGTTTAAGTAGTTTGTTGTATGAACGAATACACAGGATTTATAAGGCCAAGCAAGTGGGGGTTTTCTGTTTTAATTAGTGAGTTACCACGTTTCGAATTTTCTGATCAGCTTATACAGATGTATATAATAAATATTGAAATATCATATATATATATATATATATATATGTTTGTAATTAAGCACAAAGCTACACAATGGGCTACCTGTGCTCTGCTCACCACGGGTATCGAAACCAGGATTCTAGCGTTGTAAGTCCGCAGACATACCGCTGTGCCACTGGGGGGCATATATATATATATGTTTGTAATTAAGCACAAAGCTACACAATGGGCTACCTGTGCTCTGCTCACCACGGGTATCGAAACCAGAATTCTAGTGTTGTAAGTCCGCAGACATACCGCTGTGCCACTGGGGGGGCATATATAAATGATCATTTTGCTGGTCAATAAATTCTACTTTCCAACTGTGGAACAATTTCATGTAGTTATTACTGAAATATTTATTTTTACAAACAAGCCCATGGTGGCTCAGCAGTAAGTCTCAGGGCTTATAACGCTAAAAATCGGGTTTCGATACCCTCGGTTGGCAGAAAACAGCTAGAACATTGTGTTGCTTTGTGTTTGTAACAGACAAAAAACAAATTCCCCAAATGTAAGAGGATTAAACAGAAAACTACAGCAAATATCCATTAATTGCTGTCTAAGTTGGTAGATTTTTTCTGACTGTTTTAGGTATTTTTATGTGAGATGAGGACTCCCAGTAAGTTTACGGAACTACCATGCTAAAATCCGGGGTTTGGTTCCCCGTGGTGGACACAGCAGATAGCCTAATAACGTAGCTTTGCTCTAAAAGGAACAAACTCACAAAAACGTGGGATGAAATATCCGATAGAAATTTCTATGCCGGATTCCAACGAACTTGATCCGGGTGGTTAGCGTGCTGGGATACGGATTGAAGGGTCCAGGGTTCGAAACATGATGCTGCACAACACTCGACTGAGCTAAACTCGGTCCCATTTATTATTTTTTTTACAAATACTTTAAGCTATAGTCATATTTCGACGTTCTTGACCGGTGTGTAAGCGAAAGACTGGACATACTTATTCTATAATGCTGAACTTGCGGCTCTGAGGTTCCATGATTCGCGCCCTTTTACCGAAGAAAAAATATCGCATTTTGAGGCTGTGGGTGCTTTATAAGAGTAGCCCAAACGTAGGTGGTGGGTGTTATAGCCATTTGGATAGATTTGTGTGAAAATTGCAGAAACAAACAAAACGCCCCCCCCCCTCAGTGGCACAGCGGTATGTCTGCGGACTTACAACGCGAGAATCCGGGTTTCGATACCCGTGGTGGGCAGAGCACAAATATCCCATTGTGTAGCTTTGTGCTTAATTAGAAAATAACCAACAAACAAAACTATGTATTTCTTTATTAAAGAGATAGATTAGTTTTAATATTTTTATTTCGTCACAAATTTTGTAAAATAATGAAAATTAATAATTACATTCAGTTGATTTTATTTCACTTTATAGCATATATATACATACCCTCTACTTAACTTCCTAATCAAAGACAAAACACTGAAAACGCCAATTTCTGATTTAGTAAGAAACGCCTGTAAAAGTGTTTTTCGCGACATACACGTAGCGTGAGCAGACTGACTCCAATTTTGCGGATGTTTCCTGTCCCTTACTTCCGCCAACAAGAAATGTGGAAACTGTCTTAAAAAAAAGAAACGAGGTTTAAAAACAACACTTTGATGTCATGGAAATGGGAAGATGAAACTATCATTGGTCAGAAGTTAAAGAGATATTCGGACGAATCTTCTTTGTAGACAGATATTTTTGTTGTCGTTTGTTTATGAAAGTAAATTCCAGGCAATAAAATGAATCAACTTAAAAAAGAAAAAGAAACTTCATTACTAATACAGCCTACACAATTTCTATCTTCAGATGTAGCTGAAAAAAAAAAGAATGGCGCCATGTTATTGTTTTTTTTTCTTTCTTGTTTCCTTCTTCCGGAGGCCTGGCATGGCCAGGTGGTTAGGGTGCTCGACTCGCAATCTGA